TGCTATCATTGGGAAGATTATCCGCGTATTCGAGGATTGTTTTTTCGAGCTTTTCAGAGGTGAAAGATGAAATCAGATGCTTAGTTCTGAGACTTGGAAGAGAACGATAAGACATCTGGTGTCACTGTTAGTTGCGATTTTCCCTTCCTTTTAGCAATTTGACATATGGGATTGCAAACACCCAATTTATACTGCTTCGAAAAGGAGCTGAGCCCGGAAATGGGCTACCTCCTACTATTCAAACAAGCTTTTAGATCTCACGGTAACTTTGGGATCCCTCTTGAAATGTCATGCTGCGTTGCACGCAACAATCCATTCCTGGTAATCTGTAATATAGGCTTGAACAGATAGACTGATCAAGAAGCGCATGCAGGTGGATGCTTCTTTAAGACGGCTAGTCTGAATTTGATGTCGCTGCTTTTTTATGGCGCTTCGCGAAGTAGAAGAGGATCGGGAATTGAAGGCGGGGAGTATGGAGGCAGTCAGGCGGGAGAACAGGTGAACATAAGAATAGCTTTGAGTAATGCGCAAAATGCAGCGAAAGATTCGAGGCAGGTACAGAAGTAGCTCCAATCTGAATGTAGTATAAGCAGAAAGATATTTTAGGAAACAACTTGGGATAGGGTGCCTTGCATATCCTTTGCCCTACTTGGCGTACACGCGTCGGGTACAGTAATTAGCTTTCAGGGACGAATATTAGTGAACGCTGATCAAAACAAATGGGTTGAACCGTAGCTAGGGGCGTATTTCTCGAGGGAGCATTTCCAAAGGCGTATTCAGCGCGTGATACAGACGCTTTATGTAGAAGGATATCACAAGAAAACGATTGAGATGCTGCGAAAACTCAGCAGAAGNAGTTGCGTCCTTTGGACCAAGAGGGCCAGTCAAGCCAGACGTGCTTTGAGGGGATGGATTATTTGGAGTAGGGGGCATTCAACCACCTAGAGGACAAAGGAGGTAGTGATGACACTCTGACGGTGCATGTTACCTGGGTGTGTTTTGTTCCTGGGTGGTGAGATATAGAAAAAATTGCGCTATTCAGCTAGGTGCTCATTATTGTTCGAGGTGGTTGGGTTGTATCAGATCTGTGTGACCTCATCGTCTATTCATGCATCTAGTTCATCCTTTCGAATATTATAGACGTGATTGCGAAAGCGAAGGTGGCTTGGAATAGTTCAGCATGAACGATTAGTTGGATGAGGCACAAACCTGTAGAACAGACATGGAATGGGGTCTGAAATGACAAGAAGCCGCTAACATATGTGTGTCTGAAAGCGCTTCTTCATATAACTGAACGCTGGGAACCACGAATGCAAGCACATGAGCCGATTCGTTCCTCATGCTACAGAATCAGAATTGGAGTGAAGTTGGGATTCAGTGCTACAAATAAGCAAACTGGACGCCAATGCGCACCAGTTGTAATTGATTATACGTTTCTCCCGTCAGAAACTGTATCGAATAAAACTGGATACTCGAAAGTGAGTACTGGATTGAATTATATTACCTTAGTACCGATGCAACCAATAAACAGAAACATAATTCGCCAAGGGTAGAGCATACTCTTAAGGCACGGGCGAAGTAGAAAGAGGACATGTACAAACAGGTAAATTAGACTGGGCTGGATTAGGCTAATATATAACTGTGACCATGGTTTCCGCCAGTGTAGTTGAGTTTGATTACAAATTCCAACTAAGAGCGCGATTTTATTCAGTGAGAAACATAGAATTGCATTGTTACTTAAAATGCGGTAATTTCATAACGAGGCGCTATCTGATGAATAGTTTTTCGTATCAGAGAATGGAGATCATCAACAGACGTGTTCGCTGCCATCAATACTGTACGGTGCATGGAATTATTTTTCATCATTATGATGAACGGGAGGCGGGCTTCCCAAAGAAGAGGATTGTGCCAAAGTTTGCCGCGTAAATTCATCTAATTAGTAATAATAATGATGTTTATTCCCAAATTGTGAGTGATATAGCGCCTGGCATGATCATTCGTTTACAGTCAGAATGGGGCATGACTGGGGGATTCGCAAGTAGTGGGGATTGCACGAAAAAAGGACGATGTCATGAGCAGTAGGAAGTATTCGATGAACTAATAGTAATAGGTTTCTTGTGCAGCTTGCAGGGAACAATGGGCATGAGGTCCGACTAATTCAAAGACTTAGTCGGCTGACATGAAGTAAAATTGGAAAACCATTGCTGGCCACCCACGGGTTGGGAATAAACATCAGTATATTATTACTGTTAGGGATAATAATTCATTTGAAAGGAACATTGCAGAATGCTATAATATGATAATGTTTGATTTGTCGCTTCGTCTTGTAATCGGGTAATGCAGTGTGGATCAGTGGCAGCCAATGACGCGTAAATTCAGTTCAAATAAACAAGTCGCTCTCAGCAACCTACCGCCGTTAATGCATACGGGTTAGGCCAACTTCCCGTAATAGGCGCAACTTCTAAAATCCCACAGTTTCACCCGAAGTGTTTTGAATTTACTTGGAGTAACTGGCTGGGAAGTGGCTCCACATGTTTTTTAGAAATCAGGGGCTGCATTCGTTTCATCATTCACGGCGCCCGAGAAGACGTCAAATCAATAGATGAAGGAAATCTATATTGGATTTGTGTTTGGGGCCACGACCTTCATGCTGCAGTGTGGGAGCGCTTGAAACAAACAAAGTGAGCTTAATCCACCCCAACTAAATTATGGCTCCTGGTTAAAAGCACAAGTGCTCTCAGACGGTTGACAACTTTTCTGGAGTATGCACTCGCCCGTCTATCAGGCGATTTTTCACTCCTGCGTCCATTCGTTCTTTGTAATTAGATACCAGTCCAAGCAGAGAGAAACATTGTTCACGGATCTTATCATGGGTTACTTATCACAGGTTACTTTCACACTCGACCCTGCTCCAGCAGCAACACTAGTGAGTTGCTCAAATTTCCCTTCACACTGTGATTCCGAGTTTCCTACTACCATTTGTCCGTACTGCATATTACCTAGCCTCACTATCCCCACTTACGCTTTCCGTGGCTGTACGCCCAACAGCTCAAGGCAATGAAGCCCTAATTACGGATTTTGGCTTTAGTTTAAATTGGCCGGCCATGCCACGGCAGTTCTGCCAGATCCATTGTTCTGGCTCCACACTTCCTGCAGTTTGAAGTTTTTTGTTTTGTCACGTTCCAGGCAGGGGGCGTTTTGTTATACCCTCACTCGTATCGTTTTTGCCCGCCACTTTCAAATCCTAACGATAAGATCCTGTGTCATAAGATATGTTCTCCGTAAGAGATAAAGGGTCCGCTGTAATTTTGGATCCCTACACATGCTACCCCATGTGTGATGAGGTCTACTTCGTTGATGACCACTGTTTAGGTCACCGTCCTATTTCTAGGAAATTCCCATTAATCGCAGCCCCTATCAGTCATGCTCTTATTCTGACTGTAATACTATGATCATGCCTGACGGTATGCTATCCACTAGTTGGGAATAAATATAATAATTATTATTATCACTTCAACACCGATCAGCGGGGGATGGTAGATTATAATCTGTTGGGAAAAGGTGCGACCTAACACCAGTTCACAAGCATCCAACAGCAGCTTTTGAAAGTCCGGATAGACAACTGAACCTAGTGATGGGTGAGCTTGTGTTCTGTTTCCCAACCTCGGTCGCTGTGCGATGTTGCTTTTCAGGCATGTCTAAAAGGCGGATCAAGAGATGAATAATTTATTTCCGGTTTTAGCTCCCGGCCCAGCAACAAAACGCAAACGTGCGCTTACTAACCAGCCCGCAAATATGATGTTGATCTAGACCGAAGCGCAAAGTCCCGTGAGTTAACGTCTTACCAACAAAACTAACCTGTAGAACGCCAGACAGAGGATTTCTTGTGACCCATCCAAGACCAATAAGCACCAGTCTAATTATCTACTGATGCATTTCATGTAAGTTGATGCATTTTATGTAAGTGTTCCCTGAGACTTTACCATTAGGTACTAAGCTGCAAGAAATCACGCAATACGAGTCAAGGGTTGAAGACGGCTTTGTGTAAACATGTTTACGAGACTGTGATTGCGGAATAGTCCTGCAAATTTTGAGTTGATTGCGCATCAAATTTCAGAAAAGGGATAAATTGAAGCAAATTCTAGCGAAGCGAGGCAGATTATGGTGGTTTTTGGCATGGGCATACCCACAAATAAATACAACTCTTTGTTATTTTGCAGGCGACGGTTTTGGGGCAAAGTTCATCTGCCGTATAGGCATCGGTGGCTTCAACTGGTATGTTCTTTGCAGGTGAGAAATTATGATATTTTGCCTTCCATTTGCTTTATGTTGGAAGACATTTACCCCATTTGCTTTACCATTTTGGGGGGTTGTTCTCCCCCCGTACCATGGCTTATTTTTTATTAGGCGCTTCATCATAGACGTTCCCATTTTATTTCGGCAGTCTAGTATATTGGTTGACACCACATTCAAGCCAAACAAATTCGGTCGCTAGAATAAGAATCCATGGGTTCTCCTTCGTGGTTCCATGGTTCCTACTTTCACGGATTCCCAGAATAATACACAGGATCAAGGCCATTGTCCGAGTTTCCCTGGTCGCTTTTGTTCAGTGGCTGTCGTTCACCTGAAAGGTACAAGTGAAGAAAGGGTGAAGCACTGCTCTTTATGTTCTTAGCGCGGAGCGGTATGCTTGCCAGCGCAAGGATTCGCATAAATAAATGTCTAATAGTGCTTTAAACTGGGTTCTAGAAGGAGCGTAGACAACCGTCGAAGGAAGGTCATTCCACGCAGCCACTACCCGAAATGAGAAAAAATTGCCCGATGAATGCGTGCGCTCTGAGCTTGGAAATCTTCTTAGCATGTCCCCGCCGTTTGCTTGCTGGGTCAACGGTGAAAAACCTGTTGGCCGAGCTTTCTTAAAACAGGGCATAAGTAAGAATTAGGTCCCACCGGAATCTATAAACTCCAGGGGAAAGAGATCAAGCATCGCGAGACGCATTTCATAGTCTACGGATTTAAGGCCGGCAACATTCTCGTAGCGGCTCGCTGGACACGCCGAATGGGAGTGACGTCTTTTGTGCACTCTGAGTGGACAACTTGGTTTGCGCATTCTAGGAGCAGTCTGACGTAGACAGCATGCAGTATTTTGAAATCCATGCGAGTGATACGGAAGAGGTGCGTCGGGATCATTCGTAAAATGGCGAATGCCTTTTGGACAGATTTCGAGAAGGACAAGTTTGAGGAGACCCAGATGCCCAAATCCTGTTTGGCATCTATCCTCATGATGTTTTCTGGTTCCTTTTAACCATGCATAACAAAGGCATTCGCTGTATCCCCTCCAACGACATATGGACGCACTTTTCATCATTCAGAGGAAGGTGCCAGTCCAACGACCACTGCTTGGCAGCGTCTACATCCATTTGGAGGGCACTGGCATTGGAACTCTAGGATTTCAAGTCGTTGTTACGGAGATGAGCGTTGATGGCTCCACGTACTTTCGTCGCTGCTTGCATGTGAGGTTTGCCTCCTCCCGGGCATCAAGGCCTTTGGTGAGCGAGAGGCCTGTGGTACTCGAATAAAAAATGCTGTCCATAGACGCAGCTGGTTTCGTCGGCTTGGTCATGAGTTTGGGGTCGGCTGAATTGGTGCCCAACGGAACTCTGTTTCCTGCCCCCACCCCTGACCTGCTGTGACCAAGCTTTCGCGCGTCTAGAGGGCGATCCTGGGATAGACGCCTGAACATTGGGTTGGCCTTTTGAATGCTGCTAGCTCGCTCCAACATCTTCTATATGGCAGATGTAGAGGGAAGAGTGACTAGAAGCCCAAATATTCGCCTGCTTCCCTTCTGGCGTCATAAGGCAGCCATCGGACCCAGTACCTTCGAAGCTCCAATTTCGCGTCGAGTATCCCGATCAAAGCGGAACACTCACGTCTGTCTTTCTGTTTCTGCAATGGGGATCGAGTGCCGTCTTTTGAGGCCCTCTCCTTGGCTGCGATATGTATTGCACCCTTAGTGTAGAGGCCCCCGTCGCAGATAAAAGGATCAGGAGATTTAGCTAATCGGTATATCTGGTCGCCCTGCAAACCCCTGCAGTTGAAGTGCCACAAGGACGTGACTTTGGAGTGGTAAGCCTGGGAGACGGAGGGTTTTATGACTTACGATGAGCTCCTGCGTTTTGTTGGCTACGGTGCTCAATAGGTAAAGATTGAAAAAGTGTAAACGGGGGCTGCTCTAAACACAACCCAGCTAGCACAGAAATGCGCATTTTCCATCCGAGCGCCGCAACTTTGACGTTCATTGAGGGTCCACCAAGAAACCTGAGGGTGTCAGCGCAATAGTGGTACGGCAGTGTCGTATCTAATCTGATAGCACTGCTTTAATCCTTTCCTTCTAACCCTTGACGTTTTGTTTCTCGTTTGCGCGAACCTAAAGTTACAACTTTGAACACACTTCCTGCCCAGCCCAAATCGCTTCAGGTATGAGATCGCTCGAACCCGCTGAACCTTTCCTCCTGAATTAACCGATGCAATTTAGGTAAGCTCCTTCAACAAGTTTAACTATTTCATTTATGGTGTGCACTTGGCCACACGCAATATCTTTGCATCGAAAATTTTCTTCACATTTACAAGTTTGAAAGTGAACCTACTATTATTTTTGTCAGCGAATGGATATGTGATGCTATCATTGGGAAGATTATCCGCGTATTCGAGGATTGTTTTTTCGAGCTTTTCAGAGGTGAAAGATGAAATCAGATGCTTAGTTCTGAGACTTGGAAGAGAACGATAAGACATCTGGTGTCACTGTTAGTTGCGATTTTCCCTTCCTTTTAGCAATTTGACATATGGGATTGCAAACACCTAATTTATACTGCTTCGAAAAGGAGCTGAGCCCGGAAATGGGCTACCTCCTACTATTCAAACAAGCTTTTAGATCTCACGGTAACTTTGGGATCCCTCTTGAAATGTCATGCTGCGTTGCACGCAACAATCCATTCCTGGTAATCTGTAATATAGGCTTGAACAGATAGACTGATCAAGAAGCGCATGCAGGTGGATGCTTCTTTAAGACGGCTAGTCTGAATTTGATGTCGCTGCTTTTTTATGGCGCTTCGCGAAGTAGAAGAGGATCGGGAATTGAAGGCGGGGAGTATGGAGGCAGTCAGGCGGGAGAACAGGTGAACATAAGAATAGCTTTGAGTAATGCGCAAAATACAGCGAAAGATTCGAGGCAGGTACCGAAGTAGCTCCAATCTGAATGTAGTATAAGCAGAAAGATATTTTAGGAAACAACTTAGGATAGGAAAACAAATCGCAAAAAAATAACGGCAGATGAGGAGGGTTTTCAGTCTACGCATATATGCAAAGAAGTGCAACATTTTGACGTTAAAGTTTTCATTTCGTCCGCAGGCGTTTTGCAGAAAAATACATTGTGCGTCTAGCCGCCGGCCGACGGCGGCAACTTTCCAAATCGGTTTCAAACGGCCCGCTTCAATATATCAAACGGGTCGCCGTGTATTTGTCGATGTTTCCCAGCCAAACACTCACAGCTTCTTGTCCAAATTTTACTGGATTTCATTACAAATCCTGAAAGGCCTCCTGCATTACCGGATTCCGAGATGTTTTTGGAATACCATTTGTTTTAAACATTAAACAAATTTCTTGATGGCCTTGACTATTTAAAGCGCTCGTTTGGAAGTAGTACCGAGCGTTTGTCGATTATCGTTGTCGCAGGCCTCGTGGTAAGTCACTTCGCATTTCCACCAGCTTATTATAGCAGACATAAATGTTGGCTGGAGCCTGTTGCTTTTTGTCACGCTCTTCAGTTCGACTTGATGGTAGACTTATTCTACGGGGACCATTGTTTTTGTGGTAGTTTTTACTAGCCTGATAGATGGTATTTTTTAGATATGTCCGAAGGGTGTAGACAGTACAAAGGAATGCCCTGAGCTTTCGCATCATGCTCCATGTGCAGAATTCAGGCTGGGAGACAGCAAGGAGCAGTTCGTAATATCTTCAGTAATAGCTGCACTAATATTCGTGAGTCGAAGTTGTTGGCTTAAAAAATCATCGAATGATTCAGTATCCATTTGGAGTTGAAGTGATAGTTTCCTCCGCTGCTAAATTCGTTTGACTAGACCAGTAGTTAAAAAATACAACAGGCTAACAGTTTTTGTAACCCGGGGCATGAACATTGCTGGGCGAAGTATGTCTTGAGTCTTAAAAAAGTGACTCGTGTTTAGCCTCATTCACCTGCATAGAACAAAGTTAATCTAACCCACAAATACTGGAGGCCACACACAATCCTACCTCTGTTGTGTTGGCCAACCAGGAACATTTGCCGGTTGTAGTTCTCACAGAAGCAGCAATCTGCTGCTTATGGATTGAATGCACTGCGTTATCTGCGTATTGGTCAAGTCCGCACAGAAGTAGGCTTTCCGTGTTGCACATTCTTAGCCTATTCTAGGTGAATGGGATTTCGCGCGAATACTTTATGTTTGTCAAGGACTAACTGAATTTCATATTAATGAAATAAGGTGGCTACCTTTTTCCCCTCTTTTTGACGTCCTACCTTATTATAGTCTCCTATAAGTAGTGAATTCCTTCTTATTCAACTAATCTCTCTGAACGCGTGTACTGCAGAAAAATGCGGTAGCTTGTGTAGAACTATAATCTAAGTGAAATGGAAACGGTAAAGCGTTTCAAATTACACCTCCCTGCTCACTCATCCATACTTGATACCCATCTTCTGTCACAGACACAGGAGAAACTATGATATCTGTAACGTGCTGTCTTACCGGAGAAAACGTTTATCCATTCCACACCCCCGGACAGAAAGCTCTTGTCATCCGGGCGTTGGTCATCATTACGAGAAAGATTAGAGAACTTTTACCCAATTTGTTTAATGAATGGGTCTTTTTCCGCCTCCATCCCCGTAAGCTGATGATCGACCTGGCACCCAATGTTGCCCTACGGAAGATCTGCAGTTTCTCACAAAACCGTTTTGCTTATTTCAAGGAAGACGAAAAACGATGTCACAAAACCATGATTGATGAATTCCCTAACAATGGTATCCCCCTGGCCCCATTTATACAAAGAGCATCACCATACACGCCATGAGTGTTCTTCAAGGTCAATGTACATCCGTTTTCCCAAGTGTCTTACGAACAGTGGCTACTAGGTCATCCCATGATAGTTCCTCGAGATTATCTGATGCCGGCATCCAAAGTAGCTACGGTCGGTCATATATGTTGCGGGACTGCTGATCCTCCAGAGAATTGTTAGGTTGAACTCTCCGGGAAGCCGACATCGCCTTTTCATTATGTTAGTGACTGGACATCTCGGGAAACCGTGGAGAATTCCTAGGTGCAGGTGACGCAGAAGGGGGCGTGTACTGTAGTCCATCAAAAACGCTCATGAAAATATGGGTGACCGCTTTCGCTTTGTTCGTTTTCCCCATAAGTTTGAGACTATTACCAAGTTTGAAAGAGTGACGTGTTTAGAGGCTTGATGATATATAATAGTAATGATAATGGTTCAACCGTGCCGCCGTTTTGTTGCCTAGCTACCGCGCTACCCGATGAAAGCACAAGGGCTGAGGTATTGCCAGGTTGCCCAAGCCTAGACAATAGCAGTCGAGGTGCTGGGGTTGAGTTCGAACAACAGACCTTCCGTTCCGTAAGTTTGCGCCTTAACCTCTGAGGTACCTCGAGCTGTGCTTGATACACTGTTCGAGAAGAGTGGACTTCGTCCTGGACTTTTCGCTTTCCGCGGTGTTCCCTGAGTAGTTCTGAAGCTGTCTCAGCACTTAATTGTTTTCCTTCAAGCGGCCTAAGTTTCAAGAGCGAAGTTAGTGAACACAATTTGCCTCCTGTATTTTTTTATCTTGGCTAACATGTTACTCTTTTCTATCTGGTGCGTTAGTTTAGAACTGCTTCTTCGTTGTCCCATTCCCCTGCATAATCGACTACATGGTGTTAACAATAACTTTCTTGATACAACAACAGTCATATCACGTGTCCTTTATTTGTATAGAATTTAACAGCCGGTGGATCGACATTTATCCCGTATTCGTTACGTTACACAGGATGGGACCGAAATAACCCCTTAATGCCTGGGTATTTTCCCGTGTTTTTACTCATCATTATAATTACGTTGTCCGTCTTGGTTACTTGCCCCTGGGTAGAGTTTTAGATTGTGCTGCTGGATTTATCTGTAATAGCGTACCATTGTATTTGCGTCTGCATGAAATATGGTGACGTTGGTGATAAAATACTTGACTCCAGATTTGTCAGTTAGAGTCAAGATTGGTGATGATCAGGATTGAACATGTTTTCCAACTTCGAATACTGTCGTTTCAGCAGCTGGAGCGTGTTTTCTCAGGTTCTTTAAATGATCAGTGTGGCTTTTGGTTACATTTCAGGAGATTTCAATGCTTTTGTTACCCGCTCGGCATTCATTTCCGCTTCCAAGGGTACAGTATGGTTTGATTACAGTCGACGTCGTTCGAAAATCCGTCTGTGTGGGAACCCCATTTGATACGACTTCAGTTAGCTGATCACCGTAGCATAGGCTTGTTCTAGATTATTCAGTAAAAGGGCTTTAGATAAATTATTAATTTTACAAATGGGCGGAGACGGTCATCTTAGGTAAAAACCGGCCGTGTATTTACTTGTGGGAGCCAAGTGTAAACATGCTCCTCGACCAAATACAACGAAAAATATTGTGGGTTCATTGTCTACGGACAATAATGTCATGTTGAAGGGAGCATTGCAAGGTGAGCTGTTACTGTCCTAGTTGATATATTCGTGGCTGGCTTTGAAGTGCGAGTGGAAGAGCTCATTGGACGAGCTAAATTCTCCAGAAGATAAATGGATGATATGTTATTGGTCACAGGCAGTTAATCACCAAGACGTATAGCTGGTCAACTGTTGTCACGATGGCTCAGTGGTTGAGGAGCGAAGATAGCAACCGGAAGGTCAGAGGCTGCAACCCAATCTCTGTTTCTGAACTGCTTCTGTCTGGGCTTGGGCAACTTCTCGATGTCTCGCGGTTTGTTCGGGTGGCATGGCAACTTGGCAACACCGAGGTGATTTTTCTGTTGTTATCAATGCTGATCATGATGGATGATCACAGGATCATCAGAGGAAACAATGGGACTATTCCAAGCGTCGACTATTACTCTTCAAACATCTAGCTTACTGTCTTGCACGAGACAAACGACATAATAGCCTTTCCTGATGTCCAACTGATCCAACGAGAAGATGAAGTACTTCGTAGGACAGTTCGCTGACAACACACTTAGATCGGTTGGTATCTCCGTTTCTCCAGTTCTGCGCCGGTGCGCTATAAAAAGTGCTTAGGATGTTATATGATAGTGTGAGAAAAATGTGCACGGAAGGTACTGTCGACACCGAACCTAAACAACTAGAAGGGATATTTCATTCAAATGGATTCCCACAAAAATTTGTGAGGAACCACAGCATGCTTTAGCCGAAGAAGGTGCAAGAGCAAGTCCTTTCCCGAAATCGAAATTCAATGGGGACGATTCCAGTCAACTCATAGAACAGTGTTTCACCTCAGCTGTTAAACGGAACTATTCGATGCCAAACCTGCAGTTATCTGCAACCGCAAATGAATCTCGACCCTCTGAAGTCGAAGTTCCATCACCGTGGCGCGCTATCTCCTGTCTCGCTTGCTGTTTCGCGGTTTAGTGATCGGCCACCTACCTTGGCAGAACTGAGAGGCAAGTGGAGCACATTTCTGTACAATAGCATGAATCCTTCTACCGCATCACGCCGAAATATAAGTTCGATTTCTGAAGCAAGTTCACGATCCATACCGGTTTCATCAATAGCCTGCCATTTACTTGAAAGTACTGCGTTGCACATCGAGTTTATTCCCTACGTATATATATATATATATATATATATATTCCTATGGTAACTAGGCCAAAAGACTTATGCTGGTTTTCGGCAGTCCTGATGCCTGGTAATTCAAAGTGGCTCAGTTGCCACGCTATGCAGTATTCACATTTGATTTAGGACACAATCTCTGCTCGTGTGTTGTACGACAAAAATTACCGGAATCCTCCGACGCTTTATGAGATGTGGAATTTTTTTCCGTCCATCCAACCATAGAGTGGCCCATTTTTACGGGCGGTCTTCTGCTTGATCTTAATAGGGGGCATTACATTTCTTCTTAATATTCCTGTAAGCCACGTACCCGGCCTATGTTTTGACGCTTGACATTACCCCATCGAGTTGTAGATGCATATTAATTTGTTTCGTAGGACAATGCAGTCTAGCCTTATGTTACACAAGCTATCCGGTTTATTGTTGTGATGAGGTCGCTATTCGGATGCACAATTGGATTATGTATAAACTTTTGAGATGTGTAGGCACTCGTGAGTGTGTCTGAAGCGAGACCGCTTCTTGCCTACACATGGCCTTCCTCTTTGAGGATTCTTACGCAGACGAGAGGAAACGATTCACTCGACAAACAGTCACAAATCCCCTACCCGACAGCTATGTGCTCGCTCAAAGGTTGATTGGAATCAATCGCATCTTAACCATTCGTCTTTTTTTCCACGATACTACTTGTTTTAATTGAATGGCTATGCAATGGTGAGACACTGGTATTACTTTGAATTATGAGGACTGTTATGAACAAATGTTCAGGGCTTTGGTTTCTGCAACCTTGTAGGAAAATTAGTTAGGCAGAGAACTTAACGGCAAATTTT